AATCAACCTGCAAGGTCCACTGTCATGTATACAGCTTTCCAGGAAAAAAACCTAGGGTAACTAATACTTGCTTTTCTGGCTGAAATAACCCCAAAGACAAAAGTATGCATCCAGATCTTTTTTTTCATGCCTCATAAATAAGCTATAAGGGCACAAGACCAGTTTTATTTCCTTGCAGGTCAGTTTGAAGATCCTGTTTTGCAGAATTAACCACAGAATGAAATCATCCAGCCACAGCACTTATCATTGTAAAGGAAACCTTCCCAGCCCCAGCCAGGCCCCACTTACTGCCTCATGTTTAGTTTGTGGATCGAGAGGTTGTCAGTTCAGAGACTGGCAGGTGTTTGCCAATGAGGGCTTATTAAGCTGGTTGGGTGGGAGCGGCCCCCAAGAACATCTCACAGGAAAGCGCAGAAGTTTGATTCTCAAGTGCATGTTATAAGGCACGTGGGGACTGTAGCAGCTGAAACATGCCAAAGCCTGGGCCTTGGGACACAGCATGGGCTCAGCCAGGCCTGAGGGCTGCTGTGGGCAGAGGCCAGTGAAACCCCCCATGTTTGGGGTGAATTCCATTGTTTCAGAGGGATCAGTCTCTCTAGGTGCAGACTGAAATAACATTTGTCATGTAATTGGCCCCTTGAAAGTGCTCTACAGCCATGCCCAAACAGAAGAGTACAACTGCAGTGCGCTCCAATCACGTGACAGATTAACCGAGGTGAGGGGCTCCAATCCACCCACTTCCCCAATCCAGTGTGTCTGGGCAAACCCCAGAATGGACCTCCCTCCCCTGTCTTTTCCCTCTCCCATCCTGAGATGGCACCAGAGCTGGGAGAGGCGGGGTAGAGCTAGGGGAAGAGGCTGCAGACCCACAGCCTCTCTCACTGGATTAGCTCCAAATTGGAGCTTGATTCCCCATCCTCCTGATCCAACAGCTAAGGTCTGTTGGGTTGGGAGGGTCGGTCTAACCCATGGTGCTTTCTGTAAAGCTCTGTGAGTTAGACCAGGGAGCTGCACTTCTGTCTGCACCTTCTGTAGTGGTTGTGCCTCTCTCATATGAACTTTGTCTTAATACAGGTACAATACAGGGTTCCAGTGACCCCCTTCTACATCTTCCTCTGGACAAAGAAGTAAAAGGGGAGAGACTTTAATTTTCCATTCTTGGCCTCTTATTATTGTAGCTTTTTTGCAGGTTAGCCCTAGCTGTAGCCCAACCCAGCCTGAGCTTGGCTGCTTTCAGTAGTTCAGGCTATGTCGTGTCATTATGTTTGCGCACAGCAAAGAGCAATTTCCATCCTCTGAATTAGTTCAATAGACGCATTTCCACTGTGGTGTCACATGATGCAATACTGCTGACATTCTGTCCAGATCTTACCACACTGCTTCACTTATTGGGAGTAAAAAAATCCATCGCTCCACATTACAGAAAGCTTTTCAAGCTATGTCTTGACATTCTGCCACTTCGGAACGGATTTTCCTCTTTGTTTTACTTGCTCCTGGCTCTTCAGAGCCTGAGATGATGGGGACTTGTTCAGAGTGGACTCTGCTTGTTCTTACTTTCATCAGCGATGGGGTTTGGGAGACAAGTGCTTTGCAAACAAAGCCAGGGCCCTGTGACATGCTGCTAATGACCTCGCTTTCTGCCTGTGTTTTCTTTACGTCAGAAGTCGGAGTGCTTATTAAGTTTGGAAGCTTACTCCCAGGAGCAGAAGAAGAGAATCTGCTGGTGTCTGGCTGAGAACATCACCAAGCAGCAGCATCCAGCAACAAATTCTGCTGAGAGCAAGGTAAGGAGCCCTTGGGCTGGCCAGCCAGGCTGACAGAGCCCCCTCGCTCTGAGCACTAGGGGCCATCTTTGCTGCAGGCGCTTTTTCCACACTTCTGACAGGCTCTGAAAGCCAGATTCAGCCAGGTGAGGTGTGAATGTGCACCCAAGAACTGCTGTGTCTGCAGTCTTGCGCTGTCTCGGGAAGAGTTTATTGCATTTGCAGTCACTGAGCCCAAGTTGAGCCAGACTTTGGCAAACAGGCTACATTCCCCTGCCCCTCCTCGCCCCGGTGTCTGTATTTGGACAGCTGAGGCAGCACTGGTTTTTAACTGCTTTCCTTCAGATAATTCCTGAGTAAATTAGGAGAGAGAAATACATCCTTACAATGCACACAAGTTCAGGCTAGGAGCTCTGGATCCTGATTTGAAAGGCCAAGCCCATGGGAGTCTTGTATAGCAGCATTGTTGAGACTCTGCCTTCTCCCCTGCCACAGGACAGCCATAGACATTCAGGCAGGCCCTTGTGATCTGGCCTTAGGGCCCAGAAAGGTCTTTAATGAGCACTGCTTTTTTGCATGAGGTAGCAACAGTGTCTCCCTTATTAAAGAAATATGGTTTGGCTGCTGGCTTGTGAGTCCTGCAGACCGATAACCACATGTAGAATTGGCAGGACATAGGGAGTGGTAAGCTTGCCCCGTACATGGACTATTTACATGTTTTATCTTTGCTCTAATGAGAGACCCTGTCTCCTAGGGCCTTTCTGCTGAGGATGTCAGCAAGGAGGTCTGTTAGTGGCAGAGACATATTATAACGGGGACGCCACATCCCTCAGGAGCTGAGATCACTGCCATGTTTCAGGGTGAGCAGGGATTTGTAATCTCTTCTGCTGCTGAGTATCTCTCTCAGTGGGGATGACGCTGGGACTGATCCTAGCATTGCTCTAGGACAGAAAAAGCTCCTCCAGGCTGGCCAGAGCAGAAGCATTCAGACAAATGGTGCTGAGTCAGACTTACTCTAGATACTTTGGTGGTATCTTGTCTATGTGAACACTTGTTCATGGTTCCTGTTAGTCCTAGACACAGCCTGGACAGCTGTGGTTGTGCCTTGCTGAAGTGAAGCACAAGGTTTCTCATTCTTGCTGTGATTGCTGATGAATAGCGGTGCTAAGGAACAGAATGTCTCAGCCACTTCTCTGGGCAGAGGAAATATGACATTTACTTTGCAGTGTCCCAAATTGGGTCAGTACAGACATTTCTGTGCAGGAGATGGAGCTTCTGGATTCCTTCTTCAGATGCAAAATGGCCTGGAATAGCTTTGGGAGGTAATTTTGATTAGGAATGGAATCTATAAGAAATATAAATTACCTGGGGCAGATAGTTTCCTCCTCCTCCATCAGGTGACAAAAATCTGGCTACCCTACCTTCTTACTTACTTATCTCATGGCAATTTAGCTAACTTCTGAAACAGTAAGGCATGCACTACAGTGTTTGTGACATCATAGTGTGTGATTGCCAGGGAAACATAGAGTTCACCCAAAGTGGAGTCGTAACAGGGAGAAACTTGAAGCTCCCCATTATAACGTGTCTGTTGTTCTGTGGCTAATTTGAGGCCTCAGTGAGTAACTTCCATCCTACTGCATTTGAACATCATGTGTGTGGCTGAGCAGGTGATCCTCCCATGATCCTGAATGCCTCCTGCTACTACTGTAGAGCTCAGCTCAGGAAGCTTGAACAGGCCCAGGCAATCTGCATGTGCAACCAGTATCCAGAGGGCAGATTTTAGTCCCTAGCTGTGCATGGCCTGAGAAGATGTGAGCAGCAGTGCTCAAGGGGCATGTAAGCAAGTATTGTAGTGATAAGGTATAAAATGGTCTGGTAATGAATGCATATCTGGACAAATTTTTCCATCAGAGATAACTCTCCATATGAAGGGAAAAGTGAGGCTGAGGTGGGCATACTCTGGGTTTTGCCAGGACCAGGGAGGGAAGTGCCATCTTTGGGGGCGGGTAGTAGAGGGAATGACCTGAGAGATGCTAATAGCCAACAGAATCTGAGCCGAGAACTTCCAGACTGAAGTACTAATGAGCTATATAAATATCCCTTCTGAGCCGTGATGACAGGCAGTTTGCTTTGGCGCTGAGGGCTGTGTTGTTCAGGGTGATATTTAAAGAGGGCATTTGTAAAAGCTCACCTACCAGGACTACTTGAGACCAATTGGTTCACTGATTTTTAGAACAAAGCATAAGGATTCACTGAGTTTTGTTGCCAGGTGAACAATGAACCTAAGAGTGTCTCATCCCCTTGTTCCTCTTCTACTAAAATCTCTGCCTGGTCTGGTTTGGGTTCCTAGATTCATTCTGTGAGTAATCTACAGTTATTGCTTCCAGTAACTCCAGACAGCATTTTCATTAGAGAAATGGGGATGGGCATCATGCCCTGGAACAATCAGAGCTCACAAAAGACCTGTTTCAATAAACCCGGCCACAGAAAGGACTGCCGCACAGGGTTGGCATTGGGGAATTGGCACCCGCATCCCATCCCAGCCTGCCCTCAGCTTTTCACATAACACTTGAATGCAAAGTGAGCTTGCTCTCTCTAAGCCATCTGTATATACACATACCAGCACAGGGCAAAATGCATGGACAGGTCAGGGTGCATTGTTTCTGGTGAAATGCAATGCACTGCCTCATTTCTGAGTGGTAATAGGCTGTGGGAGAAGGAGGTGGTTGTGCTCACACCAAGGGAAAACTCAGCTGGTGAGGATCCAGTAGCTTTCTGGGCCTTTTGTGTAGCCAGAATAAGGATGAAATTGTGACATTGTATCCGCTGGTCCTGGCCCTTGTTCCCCTGCTCCAGGCATTTGGTTCCCATCGACCATTATTTCTGACCTGTGCTCCTGGTCCCTTGGTCCCAGACCCCCTGTTTTAGGTAGCATTTCATTTGCTGCCTGAATAGAGTTTGCTCCCATCTAAGTGTATAGGACTGGCTTAGTTATGAAAAAAGATTAAAGGATCCAGGATAAATTTATGAAGGGGATACTGAAAGAGGAGTTTTGGCTGTCCAATAAAAGGTTGTGATGGGTAGAGTTATGCTCACTGTTCCTCTGTTCAGGCCTAGATTTATTGTTGCATTTGGGATCAGGAAGGAATTTCACCTCAAGGTTAAATTGGTACAGGCTGTGAGGGTTTTTCTCTTCCTCTGTAGCAGGTACCATGGCCCTCTTTCTTGGGTCTCTTGAGTGCATTTTAACAACACTTGCAGTAGCAGGACACTGACTGCTTTACTAGTGGCAGGTTAGGGTGCTTTTGGTGTCTTTGGGCAATATGCTGTGTAGGTGTGGAGCAGGATTGATTGTGTAGCTTAGGAATAGGTTAGACAAGGACTTGTATTAGATGGTTTGGATAAGGATGATCCTGCTTTAGACAAGGGGTTGGACTAGATGGCCTCCAGAGGCCCTTTCCATCCCTATTTCTCCATGATCCTGTGACTATTCCAGCAAGTGCAACAGAAGTCGACACTGCACCCACTTTGGTACCAGGGAACAGTAGCAGAGCAGACTAAAAGCTGAGCCTAGGTGCTCCAAGTGCACAGATGTCAGGAATGGGTCTGTACTTCTTTTTTGTCCAGCTTTCATTCTAGATATGAAAAACCTTGAAAGGAGCATCCCACTGAGTAGTGTCAGGTGCTGCACATCCCATGTACAATTGATTTCCTAGGAGCTGGGCAGCTTTATATCACTATAGAAAAATTAGCCACTATAGCTGAGGCTTGGCCTTCATGTGGATATGCTGAGTCCCCTGGTAGCATTTTGTATCGTGTTTGGTGATGTTCTCTGTATACAGAGACCTCACACAAAGAATGGAGCCACTACAGAGAACCACTCAGAAGGGTGTAAGAGCAGCTTTCTCCAGCCTGGTACCTCTTGAGGGGGCACTTCTTGCCTTCCCTTTCCCTTTTTGCACTATTTGACACCGCAGAATTTTACAATGTCTGACCATGGGTGCCAGCAATATGAACTGAGAGGCAGTGAGCCCTGGCCTGCTGGATGGTGTTGAGCCAATTACATCAGTCATTGCTCTCCATCTGGACTCTGTAGATTCTTAGGCAGGGCCTCCGTGCCAGCTTTGGGTGCCAGAGGAGCTAGGCAGAAGCCTTCTCTGCTGAGAGTTGTGTAAGGTCTGTAGGGCCTGTTGGCGGTTCTATAATGTCTGGCTGGGACTGAATGAATGAGAGGAGTGTGAATCACCCTGAGCGGGAGAACGAAGACACTAAAAATAACTGCAGTATATGGAACAATCAGGCAGGGAGTGGTTTCGTGCTGCTTCCTGGGAGAGCTTCCCATATGCCCAACCAGCACCAGGCCTTCTGACTCCAGCAGAAATAGCCTGCCTGCAACATGAGCTTCTTCTCCCACCCCTTGGAGCAAGAAGGGCTTTCATGGTACCTGGGTGGGCAGTGGTGGCCCTACAGCTCTCTACAAGGCTTTGTACACTCTCCCGTTCTGTTCAATCAGAGCAGCGCTTGAATAGTCATGGGGCTTGTTCTGGTCATTCCTGAGAGATCAGCCCTTGGGAAACCCTGTGGAGATTACTCTTACCCACAGGCCTCTCACCTCTGCCCAGTCATTGCCCTGCTTATGCAGGCAGTTGCTCTCCTTTGCCTTAACTGTAGAGGTTCTTGATGTTGCAGCCATATTCGTCTTCACCTTAAGGATGTGGGTCTTACCCCATCTCAGGGCACCTCCCTTCCTTCTATGCAGGCTTTCCATTTCCCATCCTCCACCCTAGTTTCCTCTCCATCCCTATCTCCTTACATCTTCTGTGGCTTCCCTTTTTAAAATCCAATTCAAAACAGTTCTCTTGGTTTCATAGTCTTTCTGGGGCCTCACTGGATCCCTGCTTTTTGTGTGAATCGCCCAAATGCCTGCCGTCTCTGAACACTTGTCCCCATCACACTTGCAAAGGCACAGCTCCCCCACTCCCTTAGCACATCCTATCTTTCTGCCTCCTGCATCCTCCTGT